AGGAGCTCAGAAAAGAGATACAGGTCCCCCAAAATGGTTCAAAATAAAATATGGACACAAAAAAGAGCAGACAGAGCCCAGGAAGGCTGTAAGTGGAAGAGAAAAAAAACCCAAGACCCCAACCATTATTGAGAGAAAACATGTATAACTTTGAAAGCTAAAAAAAGGGTTCTGATTTTAGTTTTTTATGGCTGAGTAGGAGGATGTTTAACAAGGAAGGACCCATCATTCTGGGCTTGTGCTGCTCAGCTGGGGGGGGGGTACGGGTGTTATTGGGAGGGGATGTAATGGCCAAAGATCAGGCCAAACCCAGGAGCGGGTGATGATGGGTTGCCGGGGGGATGGACAGCTTCATTTGTGAAAACGGGACAAATCTTAAGCTTCTGTACTTCCGTTTGTGTCCATGTGTAAGGGCGGAGCCTTCTCCTGGATTGAGGCCCCGGTGAACCCTGAATTTTTGAAGTGGTGGTGAGCAGAAATACTGGCCTCTGCTCTAATTTTTCCCTCCCTCCTTTCCTTTCTTAAGGTGGACTGAGGGGTAATTGGGATAAAATAAACCACATATGCTTAAAGTGCAGAGTTTCTAATGTTTTTCGTGTTTTTGCTACTTATCAAATCTTACATACAGTATAACTTTGCGCTGATGTTCTGTTCTATGTGTTTAACACACACATCATTTCACAGAACCACCCACACAAACATGCAAAGCAATGATATCACTTTGCCAGAAAGGTCTTTAACTCTGACCTCCATTTCTTTAATGGCAGGCAGTCCAGCTGGTGAGGATAGGACTTCAGGTGCCTATGTGGCTTCTGTGGGCAGAGGTTCCCGCGTGCGCTGGTTCAGGATTCTGGAGCCTTTGCAGGTGCTCCTAGGATGTGCCCCCATGTTGCATCATCTAGTGGCCAGTCTGTGGCCGGCGATGGTCTTCAACAAGTTCTCAAAGTCCACTATTCTCCTCAGGGTCGGATCAGGAGTGCACACTGGGGAGTGATCCTGGGAGATCAAAGGTCCTTTCTTCAGCTGCTTTCTCTTCTCCATCCCCCAATACCCTTCCCAGCTTTCAGAACCTCTACCCCCTTCCTCCCTGGTCCTTTGGTTGGGAAACTTGGAGAGCTGAGGCTTTTCTCTCCCCAGTCGGCTGTGTATTTCCTTGTCTTTGGGTTTGCATCCAGAGACAAGCAGCAGCAGAACAAAGAGAGAGAGCATGAGCTGGTATTTCCACCCCCCCCCCCCCGCCCGCAGTCCCCAACTCTTCCTCAGGTCTTGAGACCCAAGCTCTTCTGGGCAGCAAGGACCTTCCTCCTTCAGAGTTCCAGCTGTCGGCCCCTAGCGGCAGCAGGTGGAATTGCAGCTTCTGTCCTGAGACTTGCTGGGGACCAGGTTGGGAGGGAAAGAAAACACAAACACCAAGAAAACATGGGAATCTGACACACACACCCCACACCTTCCATTAGTTCTTCGTTTTTCTGTTCCTCCTGAGCTCTTAAGGTCCTGCTGAGCGTGCACTTTCAGGATGTGGGCTGCAGGGTTCCCGCTCAGGCAGGAGGATATAAAAGGAAATATAACCTGAAAACTCACAGCGGGACTGGCCTTATACTTGGTCTGGCTTCCTTCCCCGGTCTCTTACTACAGCTCATTTTGCAGAATACTCAGACAGCAGCTCCATGTATTCTGCCTGGGTTCTCGGTTATAGTCAGGGAGAGAGGTCTGGTGACTTCATCTTACCTGAGCTGTAAGGATACTGCACAGATTTTCAAGAACGAAATTCTGGAAATAGTTCAAATGCCAGAAATACAGGAGTCGTTCATTGTGCTACAGCCACACAACGGAGCACTAAGGCAACTCTTTCAGGGAATAAATAGCACGGGTGTGATGGCTTGGAAGGATTTCCATGATAAAATATAAAACCTTTTCATTGGAGTGAAAAATACACACAGAAAGTGCACATATCAGAAGTGCAAAGATCAATGCATTTGCAGAAATAAAACACACTCATGCCACCAGCACTCTGATCCAGAAACAGACATTCCCATCCCCTAGAAGACTTTTTAATTTCATGAAATATTGGAGGAAATTAAGGCAGCTAGAGAAGTTGCTGGAAACCGCCTTCAAATCTCGTTACTGTGGAATTTGGAAGATGCCTCTGCTGGCTCATGTGAAAACATAGCCTCTTGTTCAAGAAGGGATGGAAGCCTGAAAGAAATTGGCGCCATATACATACCAATACGAATTTCTCAAGGTGTTTTGTCCCCACATTTCAGAACCCCAACCAGCTATGTTTTGGCTCATTATTAATTACAATCAGATAACAAACAATGATCAGACATTGAAGTAGGCTTGTAATATAAAAGACAAGGACCAAAGCAGACCAGACCAAAACAAAATATGACCACAGTGTAAGGAGAATTTTCAAAAAACGTCAGCAAACAAAGAACAAAAAAAGGAGCTTTCAAAATAAAAGTTTAATTCCTAAAATGAATATTTCATCCGGGATTACAAGAGAGAATAAAAGCCCAAAATTATACATTTTAAAAAACCTTCCAAAAGGTAGAACCAAACTCATAAAGGTAGAAAACAAAAGAAAAAAGGAGACAAAGAAATTGATTCAGAAGGAAGAGGAAAAGGGAGCAAGGGACAGTCAGGAGGGGACACCTGAAGGAACATGGGACGTCTGTGGGAAAGTCATGTAGGAATCATTAGCATAAGTGGTTTGGGGCTGGGAAGTGGCCAGCAACTAACTCACAGTTAGGGGAAATCGGCCAAGGGGTGACAGAGCACAGTGAGGCTGACAGGAACGGACCACTTCTCCTTCCTTATAATCCCCCCATGGCACTTCTTTTTTTTTTTTTTTTTTTTTTGAGGTATAAATCTTTTATTTATTTTTTTCTTAAATAGTTTATTGTCAAGTTGGTTTTCATATAACACCCAGTGCTCATCCCCATAAGTGCCCTCCTCCATGCCCATCACTCCCTTTCCCCTCTCCTCCACACCCATCAGCCCTCAGTTTGTTCTCAGCATTCAAGACTCTCTCATGGTTTGCCTCCCTCCCTCTCCCCGACTATTTTTCCCCTTCTTCTCCCCCATGGTCCTCGGTTAAGTTCCTTCTAATCTTCCTATACGTGCAAACATATGGTATCTGTCCTTCTCTGCCTGACTTATTTCGCTCAGCATAACACCCTCAAGGTCCATCCATGTTGCTACACGTGGCCAGATTTCATTCTTTCTCATTTCCATGTAGTATTCCATTGTATAGATAAACCACATCTTCTTGATCCATTCGTCCGTTGATGGACACTTAGGCTCTTTCCATGTTT